AATTTCCAATTCACGAGATTTTTTTTTCCACTATGCTTATTCAATTGCTAAATATTTTGTTAGATTCGACTCTAAATTCAATTACGAGAAATATAAATAAATATTCATTTTTCAACTGTTTTTTTTTTATCAAGCACATGTAAAATAGTTGCACACATTGAATTTCAATAATTTTGATTTTTTTTAAAGAGACAAAAATATATTAATTAAATTTCTCTATAGGAAATCTTAATGAAACTAATTTTTTTATATTTCTTGAAGCATTATAATCGATATTTAATTAATCGTAAGAAACTCATTAAAAAAAAAGAAGTTGCGCTCAGCATCTTAAAGAGAAAGATATATAAATTGTAGATAAATTTTATAAAAGTATATATTCATTAATAATTCATGAAAAATTGCTAATTGGTGCAATCTATTGATTTTCTATAAAAAAAAAACGAGTTCTCTGCATTGAAAAAATTCTATGCGAAATCTTTCTTGGAACTGTATATTTCAAATTTATATATATATATTTTTCAAGCTTTTCAATTTAGTAGCTTTACCAACTCGAGATTGACTCTAAAGCCCTTTTTATTTATTTGTCAATCACTATTTTGGCTTTTAACAATCGATGAGAAACTCTTGAAGTTCTTTTCTATACATATATATAGGAAAATTTGATCAAGAAAAATAAGTATAGGATTATTTGAAAAAATATATTTTTTTTTTGGAGGGGAGGATTTGACAAAAATTAAATTGGAAATTATTATTTATTTTTATTAAATTAATTTGACAAATAAGAAAACATACAACAAATTATAGAATTATGTATTGAAAAAGTATAAGTATATTCCTGCAATGACAATAAAATGGAATAGAAGTCAGAAAAGAAAGAACCATTTTGCTCTTGGCGAAACGACTGATTTTAAGATCCTCTTGGTAATTGAAGCTGGACATTAACCCATTTTCAAGTTTCTTCCTTTTTCTCTCTATATATACCGACGTTGATAATGAAAGAAAGATTGCGTTCCTTTTTTTTACACTATTTGAGAAAACTCACCCAATTTAGACAATAAAAGAAAAAAAAAGAAAAAAAAAAATTCAAAGATAAAATGAATCACAGTTCAAAGTTCAAACCACACGAAATTAGATGGGATGAAGAAGATAGGAAGTAATTAGGATGATCTTTAAAACAATCATCATGACTCGGCAGCAATAAAATTGTCTCAATATCGATGGATAAATGCTTTTCCAATTTAATCGACTATCGAAAAGAGTCTATATTTCTGTGGAAAAAAATATTTTTAATGAAATATCATTTTTTTTTACTTTTATATAATAATTTAATTAAAATCATTTTTGGGAGAAGGGGAATTTTTTTTTATTCAAAAGAGAATATTTATTTATTTACTAATTTTTCTTTTTAATTTGACTTATTAGAATTTAAAAAAATAATAGGGAATTTTTTCATAAGTAAATTTACTTTTAATTTAAAAAAATCTTTGAGGAAGTAAATTAAAAGTTTTGAATTTTAATTTTTGCAATTTAGAAAATGAAACGAATTTAATGGACTGTCTATAAATTTTTTTTTTTTTTAATCTTAAAAAGGCGTATCGACAACCTCCATGACGTTGCGAGCATTATCCTTAATACTTTCAATTTATTTTAAAACTCCTGCTCTCCCTTATATGAAAAGTCTTTTTAAAAAGTTTCTGAAAAGTTTTGCCTGAATATAAAAAGAAGTACTCGTTTCTTTATATAAATATCTTTTCAAACTTTGAACCTCATGAATTTAATTTAAAAAAAAGTAAATTAGCCTAAAAAAATATTTTTTCACGCAATTTTAATTCTTAATAAGGATTTTTCATAATTAGATTTAAAAAAAAAATAAGTTTTAATTATAAAATAGCTTAAGCATCTTTATTTAGGCAAGAAAAATGATTAATTAAAGGAAAATATTTTAATTTTATTAAATTCAAAACCCTCAAAATCAACTAAAGAGTCACAAATTACGCACGGCTTTATTGAAATTCTTGGTAGATCTTTGACATTTTTTTTTTCATTTACCTTTAACCTCTGAATTATAATGAAATTCCTTGATGCTATTTAAATAAAATTAATTAAATTCCTTTACTTTTCTTTATTTAAAAGCCCTCGTTTATTGTTTACGACTAATTAATGTTTAATTATTAGAGAATTTATTATTCGCACATAAATCGAAATATATGGATATATATTTGTACATTGTTTTCTCAATTATCTTTAATTAATTGCCAATTAAATTAATTAATTTACTTTATACAATTCTGATAATTTACACTACTGCTATGCGGGAAAAATCATTTAAATAAATATTAATAAATATATTATATATTTATTTAAATAAAATAAAATTTTTTCAATATTAATCATTTTTACAAAATTTAATTTATATTTATTTATTTTTTATGTAAATAAATATATATTTAAATAAATTTCAGAAAATTTCTGAATCAAAATTTTGATTTATTATTATGAAAAATAAATCAAACGTTTCAACACCAACGTTGGTGTCCTCTTCAATGATTAAAACAAAAATAACTGTTGAAACAAAATTTTCAAAATTATAACCTCAAAAATTTTTAAAACTAATATACATAAAAATTAAAAAGAAACTATACTTTACTATATTTATAAATTTCGATAATGAAAAATAGCAAAAACATGTTCATTAGCAAAATTTATAAATATAGTAAGTAGTTTCTTTTTAATTTTTATGTATTTTAGTTTTAAAAATTTTTGAGGTTACAATTTTGAAAATTTTGTTTCAACAGTTATTTTTGTTTTAATCACTGAAGACAACACCAACGTTGGTGTCGAAACGTTTGATTTGTTTTTCATAATAATAAATCAAAATTTTGATCCAGAAATTTTCTGAAATTTATTTAAATATTATCATATCTGGATGACAACTTGAACTGAAAATATATATATTTGTTATTTATTTCAAATTTTTTTTCCGGCGCGTAGTTAAAAAATTTATATATATAATTAATTAAAAAGAAAAATTTTGAAGATAATATTTTTTATTTCTTTGCAATAATATCGCGAATAGATTTTTGAAGCATGATATTGCGTTATATGTAAGCGGATAAAAAAAAAAAAAAAAAAAAAATTCAAGAAGCTTATCGGAAAAGGCGTCAATCTGAGAGTCCGCAAAGTGCCCAGAAAGTATAAAGTTTCTCATCGTGACTATAACGTTTCGCAGTTGTTTGCCGAAAGACTATAACTTTTCGATACTCGATTCCTCCCTTTATAATATCTGATAGATTTATTGTTCCAAATTCGGACAAAATAAACGTCCGAAGTTCCTACATCGAATCGTGGTATAGGAGGTGAGAGGGAGGGAGAGTGAAAAGTTTCCTGAATATATCAAACTCGAACATATGTAACAGTGTAACGTGAATTCTCTTCTCCAACTCTTTGAATAAATTCCCATGTATTATCTTTTATATATCATATTGTTCATATATATATATATATATATATATATATATATATATAAAGTGTTCGTAAATTTAATAACCTGCTTTACATAGATTTTAAAGGATAAAAAGAGGTACAAAAATATTGTTTCTTTTTAGAAAATATTTTACATTCTATAATTTTACGCAAAAAAAAAAATATTGCTTTTTATGGAATATTTTTCTATATATTTTCTTTGCATAAAAAATTTAGTGGATCATAAGAAAAAATTTGCAATTTTCTTTAAAGCATTTTTATAATGTTAATTTTATTGAGTAATTTAATATAATTTTTATATACATATAATAATTTATAATAATTCATATAATAAATAATTTTAATATTATTATTTAATAAATGAAAAATTCTATTTTTTGTAATTTTTTTTTTTTTTAAAGAAAATTTGTTTTTTTTTGCGCTTATGATAAAAAGAGCTATATATGTGAATTTTCTTTCAAGTGGTAACAAATTTATATAATTTTTTCCTTTTTTTTTTTTTTTGCTCATTTTTTATGACTCTTCATTTTCGTGAGAAATAAAAATTTTTACTACCCGTTCTTTGCTGCTTGTGTGTGCAACGAAAGGAATGAGTTCACACTCTCTTCAAATCGGCTCAGAACACGCGACAAATAAAAGTAAGACGCTTCCACACGATGTGTTCGTTTATTACTTTGTTGCGTGATCTGAGTTTGTAAACGTAAAAAAAAAAAATACATAAATAAATGGCGTGGAAAAATGGGTACATTTTATACAATATAAAATTCGCTAAAAACCCCCTTTATATTTTTATATGTAAATTTAAATTTTCTTAATTTTTTTTTTATTTTTGCTAAAAATTCTAAGTTTATTTTCAAAATTAAGATTTTTTTTTATATTTAATAGTAAAGTAATTAAGAAAATATTTAATAATAATTTAAAAAGATATTTATTAATAAGATTATAATTAATTTTCATGTAATTTGAATTTTGGAATATTTTTCTAAACATGGAAATAATTTTTTAATTAACACCAGAAAATTAAGGACTTTGGTATCTCAATTTTTCGGAGATTTCTTGTTAACTTCAATGACTTTATTAAAGTTTTTTTTTCAGCCCTGCAATTTTTTTTTCTTTTTTTTTTTTTAATTTTGCTATCCCGATATTTCTGGGCAATCTCGCCAATGACATTTTATAGTTTCTGATGTTATGAACTTGCGCTCTCTCAGTGTCCTTTCTTTTTCCTCATTTAACATGCGCATGATAAAATTAACTCTGATTTAGTTTTCATATTTCGTGTGTTTCTTTAATAAAACTTTTCTCATAATTTGAAATTTAAATACGAACCCCTTCGAACACGGAATTTAAAATTCGATTGTAAAATTGCGTATTTTAAATTATATTCAAATTTATTTTTATTAGTAATTATTATAATTATTACATTAAATTAATTATATTAAATAATATTTTCTATATATATAAATAAAAGTAATTTTTATTATCAATTTTAATTTTTTATTTATTTTCTAATGTTTCAGTTCTTTTTCCTGTGGATGCTTTCAAGGTTTCAGTGGAAAAAATTGTGAATTTGGACCACTTTGCAGGGAGAATGAACAACATTTAGTTTGCCGTAATAATGGCACGTGCAGGTGAGTTTTTATTTTACATAATTTTTTTTTTTTTTTTTTTTTTTTAATTAATTTCATTATTATTGTAAAATTATAAAATTAAATATTAAGAAAATATTTTTTTTGTCGGGATTATTTATTTTTTATGCAAAAAAGAAAAACAGCTGTGCGAATTAATAAAATTTTCTGCAAAGAAAAAAAATTAATTAAAGAAAAAAAATGTAATAGTGAAAAAAAAGATGCATATAAATGTTTGTGAAAATGAAATTTTCTTCATGAAGGATTTTAAGGAAACTGATTTCAGGCAAAAATGAACAATGACTTTAGCATCTAGACGTTTCGAGTATATATATATATATATATATATATATATATGAAGAAAGCAGCTTAGCATTCAAGCGAATCGCTTTTTAAGTCCGCTAAAAAAAAATCGTCATTTTGTCCCCGTGAGCATTGTTCTCGTAGATTTTCTTGGTAATTTTTATTCCTAGCTCGTTATTCTCGTCAACTCGCGGATAAAAATGAAGCGCGTAAGTCATAATAATCACAATGAATGCTAATCCTCATAATTCTCGTTTTACGTATATACATATACATAGAAATAAAAGCCAATAATAATTTTTTATATCGAAAAATTCATTAATTTGACAAATTTTTATTTATTATTTAACCTATTTATTAAAATATTAAAATATTAAAATATTTTTCAGTACATTTACTCTAAAATTTATGGAAAAAAAATAGAAAATGCGCAAGTATAATAAAATTGATTATTGGTAGTATATTAACGGAAATTGAGATGAAATCAAAGTCTTATTTTATATTAACGGCAAAAGTTTATGTCGACTGTTTCCCCCTTTTGCTATTGCTATATATATATATATATATATATATATATAATATCGTGCTGGTGTGTTTCATGAGTACTTGACTTTCTTATTACAATCCATTCGGAAGCATCATAAATAAAGTCCTCATAAAAGCGACATTAATTATTCAAAAGTTATATGCATTAATTTTAATGTATATATTGTTTAGCCGCTAATTTTATGATTTTAGAGTGAAAATTAATAATAGATTTTCGTACTTTTTTTTTGTGAAGGTTATAAAAAATTTATTTCTAAGAATTATTATAAATTTAATATTTTATTTATCTCAAGTTCTCAAATGAATGAAATCAATTTTTTAAAAATTACACAAAAAATTTATTTAATTCAAATACTCGATTACTTGACATTAAATAAATATTTATTTGAACGAAATACATATTATTTGAATTAAATTAATTTGTATTTGGACCAATAATTTCTGTATTTGAAACAAATATTATTTAATTGGCTCAAATAAAAATTATTTGGATTAAGTAAATATTTATTTGTTAATAATCAAGTGACCGAATATTTGAATCAAATATATATTTTTTTTCTACTATACACAGCGAAAAAAATAAATAAAAAAGTTTATTAAATATTTAATAAAATATTATAATTTAGTTTTGGATGTTTCGAAAATTTATTTATTTTATTTTTTTTTTATTTTATTTATTTTATTATTTATTCTTATTCTGTTGCAATTTAGGTTTAATTGGTAGGGTTTTTTTTTAAAGGTAATATGTTTTGTTTGAAGGAAAAAAAAATAGAGACATGATGTTTAATTTTATTTGACTATTTAAGGGATTTTTTCATTTTCCAGGAAAACATTCTATCCACAGTACAAGTAGTAGTACAAGTAAATATTTAGTTGGACGGGTTTGCAATTTTGTTAGTAATACAAGTAAATATTTAATTAGACATTCTTGATTTGACATTCAAACGACCTTGAACGACCTTGACTTGACCTTCAAATGATCTTGAATGATCTTGACTTGACCTTCAAATGACCTTGAATGACCTTGACTTGACCTTTACCTTGAGTCATACTTTTAAAACCCTTCTAAATTTTTTCAGTGGTTTAAATAAATATTTAGCCAGACATTCTAAATGTTTGACATTTTCTCAGTAGTATCACTCAGTAGTATTACTCAGCAGTAGTACAAGTAGTAGTACAATATTGTCAGTAGTACAAGCAAATATTTAGTCAGACATTCTTGATTTGACCTTCAAACGACCTTGAACAACCTTGACTTGACCTTCAAATGACCTTGACCTTGAGTCATACTTTAAAGCAATTTTAAATTGTTTCAGTGATTCAAATAAATATTTAGCCAGACATTCTAATGGTTGAAATTTTCTTAGTAGTATCACTCAGTAGTATTACTCAGCAGTAGTACAAGTAAAAATTTTGTTAGACACGTTTATAATATTGTCAGTAGTACAAGTAAATGTATAGTTGGACGTGTTTGCAATTTTGTTAGTAATACAAGTAAATATTCAGTCAGACATTCTTGATTTGACCTTCAAATGATCTTGACTTGATCTTGAATGACCTTCAAATGACCTTGACTTGACTTTGAGTCATACTTTTAAATCACTTCTAAATTTTTTCAGTGGTTCAAATAAATATTTAGCCAGACATTCTAAATGTTCAAAATTTTCTCAGTAGTATAAATAAGTAATAGCAGTAGTACAAGTAAATATTTTGTTAGACACGTTCTTTCTAAAAAAATCGAATAAAATAGATTATTCTTATTCTCTTGCAAATTAATGGAAGTTAAAAAATCCAAAATTCATATTTTAACCGAAATTTTTTAAATATTAATGAAAAATAATATATATAATTTATAATTATTTACAATTAGGTATATCGATTCGTTTTAATGCAAGGAACACAATTATTTAATATTTAAGTTTTAGAAATATAAATTTCTTTTCTTTCTTTTCTTTGAATTTAAATAAATAATCAATTTTTCAGCTAAAATTTGTATTTTCTATTTTTAACATTCATTAAACAAAAAAGGGATCCACACACACACACACATCCATACATCCGGACAATTGATCAGGATCTCATATAACATGTTTCTATATATAGAGAAAAATTTGTTTCCGACACTTTGAAAATTTTTATAAACGAAAGGACTACAAAGCTTCCTCCACGAGGAAGTAAAAGTATAGAAAAATAGTAGAAAATTGGAAAAAAGATAAAAAAAATCGGTACAAGAGAGAGAGAGAGAGAGAGAGAGAGAGAGAGAGAGAGAGAGAGAGAGAGAGAGAGAGAGAGAGAGAGAGAGAGAGAGAGAGAGAGAGAAGATTAAAATAAAAAATATATATAATAAGAAATAGCATAAAAAATACCGTAGGAAATATTTATAATCGGAAAATTGGATAGTCAATAAGTTGAAAAGCATGAGACATAAATGTAAAATTCGTGTGTATAAGCTATAATTTTGAGTTGTATATCGTTGGAAAATTTGATATTATATACTCGAATAGATAACATCGTCATATGGTTTCCATTTATATATATATATATATGTATGTATATATATATGTGTATATAATATATAAATTTTGAAGTGGACTGAGTTTTGATTTGTTATTTTAGGCACGTCGGAGCTGCAGCGGTGCGATGTCATTGTGCCACCGGATATACAGGAAATGTTTGCGAGATTCCACCCACGCGCTCACAGGACACTGGTAAGGTGTACAATGCTTTCACAAATATATTCCCCCCCCCCTCTGGCCAAACAATTTATTTTCCAATTATCACAATAATCCTTGCGCTTGCTTTTGCTTCCTCGCTCGTTCTCCACCGCGTGTTGTTACAGACAAATGGAAATTAATCAGACATTTGTTTCCCATCAAGCATATATAGTATATAATATATATATGGAAACAAACTTGTCATTTTCATTTCCTTATTGTAATTGCCATATCCGTCCTCTTTATGATAATTTACAGTCTTAAACTAAATTATCTAATAAAATAATTATTTATGCATTTATTTAAATGTATATTACATAAGCATATTTGAATTTGTTAATTTTTTTTTTTTAATTTTCTATATCAGTAATTTGTGATAATTTATCAGCGAAAAAAATTATTCAAATATTTGTGAAATTTTTGATTAACTTCTTTTCTATATACCTAATTAAGTTGGTCGAATTTTTATGCGAATTCACATTCTCGGCGAGTGTAAATTAAAAAAAAAACTTTTCCTCTCAAATGGAGAAATGGTTTTTTTTTTTTTTTTTTGTTTTTCTCCTCAAAGAGATAGAAGATACCTCTCTTTTCTTACATCTTCTCTTGATCCTAATCAAAATATTTGTTCTTCCGGTACCAATGCGAACGTTGAGCTCTAGAGAGGATTTTAATTAAAATGCTTCTTGTTGAAAGCACTTTACTGATTAATTTATTTGTAACAATCTCAGTGGGGAATTTAAGGGAATCAACTATTTTTTATTTGAAAAAAAAAAATGACAGTTTTATCATTTCAATTGTCGTGACCATATCAATAGAGACTTTTGTTGACTGTAAATGAATGCGCATAGAGAAAAACAGAAATGAATGCTTGTAGTTGTTTAAATTGGAAAAATAAAAAAAAAAAAAGAGAGAGGATCCAATTAATTTCCAGAACTGCTTTTTCGAAATAAAATTTACATAGCGTTGAGTTTCATGTATATATTGTGGCGTCGCGACGCTTCAACGTCAATCCATTTACTCTTATATACTTTTCTATATACTCCCAGGAGTTCGTGACCTTTTCGTTTTTAGAAAATTAATTACAATATGGAACCGCTGACAAGTTGAATGGATGCACGTTCATCAACTGCTTCCGTTATGTGGAATCTATGAGAGAAAGAAAAAGAGAGGAAAAAAGACAAAAAAAAATTAAAATAGAAAACGCGAAACATCGCGACAATATTTTCTTTCTTGGAAAAATATATATAGGGCATCGCATTAACTATTAATTTCAACGGTTCTAACGGATGTCGCACCTGCACACCCAACTTTCTTCAAATTAAAAATTCATTTTTCCTTTTCCTGCACCAATTTCGAGTCTCTCTCTCTCTCTAATTTTTTATTCTCTTCTCTCTATACCCTTTTTTTCTTCTTTCTTTTCCCTACAATTCGTGTACAAGTTTTGATAATTTAATTAATCTCCGGATGGAAAACGAAGCCTTTTCCCCAAACGAAAACTTTTCAACCGCTGGAAACTTTCGGTTTTTTTTTTTTTTTTTTTGTTTCTTTGAATAAATAAGGAAAATTGTTTATTTACACTTTCGCGAGAGCACAAAATGAGGAAACAAACAAGAATAAGTCGAGTGACATTTTTATTTAAAAATAAATATTTTTAGAGAAGGGTGGAATTTTTTTTTTTTAATTTTTGTTAATCCATTAAAATTTCGATTTCAAATAATTAATTAAATGAAAGTATATCGGAAAAAAAGTAATATAAAAATAAAAAAAAATTTGATCCTTTGTGTGTGAAATCATTTTTTTATTTTTATTTTCCATTTTTCTTTCAAATACATAATTTATCGTTGAATTCGTTTTTTTCCAACACACTGTCCTCGATTCGTATATATATATATATGCTTTTTTCGCGAACTACAGAAAATCAAGAAGATTTAAATAATTTACTCTTCCAACAAAGTGGAATTCTACACTACTAGTTCAAAAAAAAAAAAAAAAAAAAAATAGAAAAGAAAGAAATCCCTTCTTCTGTGAATTTATTATGTAAATTGAAATCCATGATTCACACCATTCCATAGTAATTTAATCTTGCGATTCTGCACAAAATGAAAAATCCGCTAAACGATAGATTTTTTTTTTTTCTTAAATATGCAAATAGCATATTCAATCGTTGGAACTTCTTAATCAAAACTTTTTGATTGGGAAAATTGCTTCATTTGACATTGCGGCTTGTTATAAAATGATTTTTCAATCGGTTTGTTTATTCTGATTAAAAAAATTAAATTTATTTATTTTTTTAATAATTTCATAACAAACAATTGATCCTAAATGAAATTTTAAATATCGACGCCTCCCGTCCATATAATCGTAACTCAAATGTCAGAACTATATAATCACAGAAAATTAAAAGGCATTAAAATAAGCTGCAATAAAATCGTATCTCAACGATCAATTCTATATAATCGTATCTCAAAACTCAATGCAATTATTATAATTATTATTTAAGCTTTCGTAAAATAAAAATAAATTAATAATCTTATCTTCTAATAAATCTGTAAAAAAAAGATATTAAAAGTTAATTTTTATTTAAAGTACACAAAATTTTTTAAAATAAATATTCTTGTTTATAACTAAATATACTGGTGAAAATCGATGTTTCAGAATCCATTTGAAAAGATAATTTTTTAAATAAAATTAGTGCATTGCAGAATTCTTTCGAACAAAATTAATTTGTGTAGAAAAAGCATTAAATTTATAATAATTATTTTATTTTATATCTTTTATAAACAAAAAATCATTTTTATAATGATAAAAAGATTTCATTGAAAAGAGTATAATAATAAATTATACAGGGTGTCTACTAGTCCTGGAAATGTCCTGGAATGTCCTTGAAAGTCCTGGAATTTTAATTTTTGTCCTTGAATTTTTTATATTTTGCTTTTAAATTTTCAAAAATTTCTAATTTTGTCAATCAAGTTAAAAAAAATTCATTAAATAAGTAAAATGAAAATTTACTTAAGTAATTAATTAATTTTTTAATAATTTCTGAAAACAATATAGTTAAACTAAAAATATTTTATTCCTTAAAGTCATCCAATTTTATGTCCTGGAAAAATAAGAAATTTGTCCTGGAGTCGATATTTTTTATTTAATTTTTTTAACAATAAATTAATTTAAAAATTCAGTCTAATTTTACACGCCTCGTTAAATAGTGGAAAATATTATGTTTTTTTTTTAGCTTTCAATATAAAATAGAGAAAGAGAAAATAAGACAAAAGACGAATATAGAAAGAGGGCGTATAGCAAAGTAAATTAAATTGTCTGTTTATCGCGGAGGAAGTTTTTTTTTTTTTTTGACAAGAGAAAAAAAAAGTTGTTTTTTTTTCTTTTTTTTAATGAATATAATCTCTCCTGGTAATTAGCGTATTAAAGTGATAACAATCGTGCTAATTAATTTTCAGATTGCAAGGGAGAAAATTGTATACTCCAGTGTTCTTATCCAGGCGAAAACCGGAAGCCCTGTCAGTGCAAACACAGCATAAAAATCTACAATAGTGAGTGTGACAAATTATACATTCTTTTTTATAAAAGGGGGAAGAAAAAAAGATTAATCGTTCTATAGAATAGAGGGTTTCAATTTCTATAATATATATAGAGATAGAGTTGGTAAAGTGATTTATACAGTGAAAATCCGGATCTATAAACACTTATCTTTTTTTTTTTTACTTGACAGATCGATCGAGATACGAATGTAGGATAAAATTGTCCAATGTCACGTCCCTCCGGGCTACTCTTCTCGCTCAACACGGCACCATAGAGTCTCTTCTCAGTCGACAGGTAAGTGAAATCTAAACTTAAAGTTGAGAGCAAACATAAGCAATAAAGAAAGGAAGTTTTCACTAAAGCTGTGAAAAATGGATTTTATGGAAATTGAAGTGTTTAAAATTTAATAAGAGTCTTTTCTACTCCTGAAGAAGGTCGCATATATTTACAAAAAAAAAGTCTCTATATATATATTTCAAGTTGATATTACGTCAAACTATACTGAATTTTTTTTTACCATTGCTCTACTTTCAAAGGAATAGGAAAATAATTTTCAAAATTTTTCATTTTATTCATTGCTTTTATTTATTTCAAATTCACAAGGACAGGGGCCTTAAATTTATTTATTTACACACTGAAAAAAAAATTCGATTCAAATAATCGGTAACTTGACAAATATTTATTTGCATCAAATAATTATTATTTGAATTTATTAAATAGTATTTGTTTCAAATTTAGAAATTATTAATTTAAATACAATTTATTTAATTTAAATAAAAATTATTTGATTCAAGTAAATATTTATTTGATAAGTATAACTAAATATTTTAATCAAATAAATTTTTTTCAGTGTATATTCAAACTGTAAGAATAAAATTTCGGTGTACTTTATCGTAATGATTTTTTTATTATTATTTTCATTTATTTTTTTTATCCATTTTTTTTTAAAATATATTTCTAAAATAAAATAAAAATAAAAGCTGATGAAAAAAAATTTATAAAATTGAGGATCAAAAGAAATATTTATTTCACTTGAATTATTAAGTTGTATACTAGGACAAATTAAAATACTTTGATCCTTCATAAGTTTAGTTATGAAATTTATTACTTTAACGCTTAAATTATTTCTTCCTGAAAGTCGTCTTAATTACTTATAATTAATTAAAATAATAATAAACAAGTCTAAAATAAACTGTAACTTAACTTTTGACTTATATTATCTAAAGTTTCTAAATATAAATGTAGGATTTAAATTTAATTAATAAATTATAAAAAAAGAAACAGTTTAAGAATAAATATAATTTTTTTAAAAATTTTTTGACATTGAAATTGAGAGCAATTTTTTTTTTATAAAAAAAGTATTCCAAATTTAAGAAATAATTATAATATTTATATAATATTTGAAAAGTAATAATTAAATAATTCTATATATGATGATTAATTATTATTATTCAATTAATTATTATATATAAATAATGATTAAAATAATTATTTAATTAAAATAATTATTTAATTAAATAACAATAATTAAAATAATTATTTAATTAAATAATAAAATTTAAAAAAAATCGGTATTCAAAATATAAAGAAATATGATAGTAAGGAAAATATAGAATTCGAACATTGGATAAATTTATTTGAAAAAAAAATTCGCGCAGTAAAAGAGATATATATAATAATATTTAAAGTTATATATTATAATAATATAGATATAGAAAAGAAATAACCGCAATCCTCATAAAAGATTCGAAATGTGACAAATAAAATTTGAAATATAAACTATGGATCAAAGTTTGTTTTTATAGCTATGTATTTGATGGTGAATGCGTATAATATTTTTATGTCCTCAAGAGGATTTTACTGCAGTAAAGCGCATTACGTTTGAAAAAGTTTCGAATTTTCCGTCTCATTTTCATATACTTTATATATCACACAACCGGATTTTGGGGAAAAAAAACCATATTAATAATGATTCTATATTATTAAATCAAAATCTGATAAAATATATCCCTTCTCTCTCTCTATATATATATGAAAATTATAATATATACTTTTTCATTTCGCACATCTCTTTCAAAATCGGAAAATTTTTTTTTTCTCATATTTTTTATGTTATTAAAATTTTTTCTTTTCAAAAAAAAAAATATAGAAAAGAGAAAAATTTTTTTCTATAGAATATAATTTGTTCTCTAATTTTATTTATTTACTTAAAATTTTTCAACCGCAAGTATTTTATTACAGTTTTTTAAAAGTTTATTTTTTTTCTCATGAACAAAAATGTAGGGGAAAAAAAATATTGTAATTGTATTTAAGAGAGAGGAAATTTTTTTGAATTAAAAAAAAGTAAATGGCTTTATTGGCTATTATTGTTGGGAGATTTCGCACAAATTTTATGGAGATATATTTTTTTTTTTTTTATAAATTTTCAATTCTTGTAAATGTGAAAATTCATTTCGTATTAGAATGAAGAGATAATTTTTTATTTTTTTTTAAGGAGAGTAAGAAAATATTTTTGAGAATTTTTTTTCATGTTTTTTTATCAGTAGAATTATTTTAGAATTAGAAGAAATTTTTTTTTTAGAATTATTTTAAGTTTTATCATTAGTATAATACAAGGAAAGAAAAATTCGTGAAAATAATTTTAAACACTGTTTTAAAAAATAAGACATAAATTTTTTAGTATTTACTAAACTTTAAAAATTAACAAAATTTTGAAATTTCAATAATTGTAAATTACTATACTTAAATTTCAAAAAAAAAAAATTTAACTAATAAATACTAAAAAATAGTTAATTTTATTTTTTAAATTAAAATATTTTTAACACTTTCTTTTCGTGTATAAATTATAGTCTGATGATTTATTGTCATCTTTAAATATGAGTAAAAGTAATTTTAGTCAGACAGAACTTTTTTTAAAATCGTAAAATATTTTATACATATTAGTAGAAAAGGACAGTTTTTATCAAACAAGAGATTTAAGAAAAATGACATTCCAAATTGTTGAGATTTTATCTTGAGTAGTAAAATCCGGTCAGACAGAACTTTTTTTTTTTAGTTCTTGACAGTTTAATATTCGGTAGTAAAAGACAATGTAAGTCAGACAAAGGGATTTAAATTTTTTTTTTAAACTGAAATAAGTATGTGAAAAGCAATTTTATCGATAAAAATTTTTAAAATCGTAAAAAATTTTATAGTGGAAGAAAAAGTTTGTTATTGATTAGAAAAAAAAATTTTTGATTCTCAGTCTAATGGATAAAAATAATGTTTCTCTCAATGTAAAAAAAATTTCGTTAGTTATTTGTAAAAGGTGAAAAAAAATATCGTCTCCTCTGAATAGGGTTAGTCGAAAAATATGATTAATAAAAGTCAAAATTTAGAGAAGAAAAATTACATATATATACATGTAAAATATATTTCATTGGTATTCAAATGCAGATGCAATGAATTCGATAGTCAATCATAGGAGCGACTGTCGATAAAGTAAATTCGGTGAAATTGAGGCGCGCGAGAATAAGTCAATAACTTAAGCGTCCCGTGTACCCTATGTCAGGATGGCATTGACAGAGTATGATTCTATGAATAGAGATCGTCATATGAATTTTGACATGGAAAAAATTTTTTTTTTTCATTTTTTTTTTTTTTCATTTTTTTTTTTTCAATTATCACGAAATGAAACGCCAAACGGTGGCTGTGTCGAATCCATAATTTTCCCTTTTGACATTTTCTGGTAGAGCGTATTTACAAATTGGTGACATTCTTTTCTTTAAATCTTCCGTGAGAGGATGTCTTCCTGGATCTCCTAAATAAATTTGTGATCCAACTTTCAATGACCTTTCGAGCCACGGAATGAGTTTCTCGGCAATTTTCTCGTCGTACAACAAGTCTCCTATGAGAATTACATTGAAGAGCTGCTCGTTTAGTTTTCTCTCAATTAGGTTTTCCTTGGAAACTCGTAGGTCCACGTTGTTCAATTTGGCGTTCATTAGTATCGCTACGCAGGCGACTGAAAAAGAATATAAAAAGGTACATTTCATTTTGTGCTGACGAGGTGTGCGGTAAAATTGTCTGAATTTTAAACATCTTTTTTTTTTTTTTTTTATTCTTTTTTTTATATATATATATAGAATTGAAGCTTTTATGGGGTGAGAAATTGTCGGGGGGTTTTTTTTTCACTATTTTTTGATGTGTTGTTCGAATTACAGATAACAAGGAAATTCTAATTTTGTTGAATAGTTTTCATTATCAAATTTTCTAGATGTTTTTTTTCTTCTAAATTTTTGAATTATATTATTGTTAAAAAATATCGTATTTTCATTTGAACAAAATTTAAAAATTGATACAAATTAATTTAAGAATAATAATAATAAAAAGTAATTAATGCAATTTTTTTTTTACTTAATTTTTTTTGCAGTCTCGCTTTTTGGAAATTTTTTTTTTTTCTTTTTGTGAAAATAGTTGTAAATTATTATTATTATTTTTTATTTTATTAGTTGGGGATAATAATAGTTATAATAATAATAATAATAATAATAATAATAATAATAATAATAATAATAATAATAATAAGAAATAAGTAATAATAAAATAAATTAATAATAATAATAAAAAGTAATAAATAATTTTTTTAATTTAATACAATTTTTTAATCAATTTCTCTCTAGCTTTTTGGAAATATTTTTTTTTGTGAAAATAATTGGAAATTATTTCTTTTCTTTTTTTTTTTAAACTGAAATAACTCGAAAATCGAGAGCAATTTCAACAGATGGAAAATGGCAACAATATTGAAGATATATTGTATAGTCAATATCGGAGGTCGGGGGTCATTTTAATATTGAAAGCTTTGAAATTAAAAAGCATTTCAGTCCTGAAAGCACTTAAATTAAAAAAAAGAGAGAGAATCTTATTTCGATATCGAACAATTTTTTTTCAACATGTATATTATTTTCTCTTTAAATAAAACTTTTTCTCTTTATTCATATATATATATATATATAAATATAAATATTTGAAAAATTATTTGCTATTTGGAAATTTTTTAGAGAAAAAAAAAACTATATCGACTTTTCAATTAGCCATTTATATATTATATACAATCAATCAAAATTCCATGAGAGGAAATTGAAAAACAAATTATAATTTCATTTATTTTTTTTCAAATTTTTTTTTTTTGCAATATATTTTTTAGTAAAAAAAATTGTAATTTTCTTTGCCTTGGGAGATAATAAATTTTGTCGCGAATAAATATATATATATGAAATTCGTGGTGTTTTGCAATTTTAATATTTTATATATATATTATGAAAAGAATGTTTTTTGATAAAGTTAGGAAGAGTGAAAAACTAGAGGCTATATATATATAGAGAGAGAAGAAGGAAATAGATTTTATCGGAAAATGCATCAGACTTTTGCACAAAGAAATTCTTTACAGTACTCTTTATATCTTTAAAAAAGATAAATTTCCTCTGAACATCTAAAAGTAAACCTCTTAACGTACACGACAGTTCTTTTTCCTCCCTCCCCCCCCCCTTGCACTGCTAAGTTCCTTGGAGTTCGTATTTTTCTGAAATAGTGTCATCTTCTCTAAACTGATACATTTAATACAAATAAATACAACAAGAGGATAACTTTTTTTCCTTTTCTCTCTTTCTATATATGTATATATATATAATTTCTATTATTTAATTATCAGACGATCTTTTTATAGTTTTCCTTTTGAGAATCACTTGATTGTCAAATAAAAATGCTTTTATTAACTTTGAAAATATATTTATTTCCTTCGATAACATTTTTTTTTACATTTTATTATATCTTTTTATATTAATTTCTTTTTTTTATTATATTTTTTATTATTATTATTATGATTATGATTATTATTATTATTATTTTAATTAGTAACTAAAATTTTGCTATCAAATTAGTAATTTTAATGTAAATAAAATTTAGAGAGTAATAAATAAAATTTAATCTCTTCATTTTTCTTTAATTAATTTTTGAATTACTCTCTAAATCTGAATTAGTAAAAATGTTTACTAATTTGAATTAGTGACTCACTTTTTGCTTCTGAATTAGTAAAATTTTACTAATTATTAGTAAATTTTACTAACAATTAGTAAAATTTAACACTTTTTGCTTCTGAATTAGTAAAATTTTACTAACAATTAGTAAAATTTAACTAATTCTAAAGCAAAAAGTGAGTCACTAATTCAAATTAGTAAACATTTTTACTAATTCAGATTTAGAGAGTAAAAAATTAAAATTGTGAAAAATATTTGTTTGAAAAATGGAATAAGTTAGTGATTTTCGCATTTGGGGAAAATTAGTGTAGAAAAGAGTTTTTTTTTTTTTTTTTTTTCTCTCTCTTAACAAGAACAAAAAGTGAAAGAAATTCTATAAGAGATCGTATAATTTTTTATGCCAAAGAAGTTTACGACTATGTTAAATCAACGTTGATTTAAAATTTTATGACTAATGCCGTTGGTCATGAAACTCCCATTCTATATTATTCAAAAGTTTGCTTGTTTAGGTTCCATATTTGACCATACATATTTATACGAAAAAGTATAATAACGTAAAATTATCATTTAGAAAATAATTAGTTGGCTTTTTTTTTTATTAGGAAGCAATTTTTTTTTTCTTTTAATAAATGTGTCGTGAATATAAATGAAAATTGTCTCACGAAATTACATTTTGAATAAATTCACCAAGAGTTATAATAAGGGACGTGTATAAAGGTGACGGAAAAATTTGCATATTTCATTGTTAATAATTAAAACTTTGCTTTAATTTTTTTTTTTTTTTTTTTTTAATAAAAAGTTACTTTTTCTTTGCACCTTTAATATTTTGACAATTATTTTTTTCGCTTATATTTCGTATAATCTATTTAGAGTTGAAATTTTTTTTTGTTAAGAATAAAATTGCATTAAAAAAAAATTTGAAAAAAAAATTAAATTTCACGAATTTTGCTTTCAAAAAAAGAAATGCATGTTTCGAAAATAGAATTATATCGTTTCAAGTGAAACAAATGCTCACGTATACATACTCATAATTTGAAAAGTTGTTGAAAATGCAAGATTTGACGTTAATTATAGCGATTTTAGCATTGCACGACAGTGTACTTTCAAAGTTGAACTAACTAGTTACAAAATTACAGTAAACTCGGCTATCTTCCTGTGTGACGAGCAGACACATTAGATTAGAGCTTTCAACATTAGAGAGTTCTCTCAACTTTCGATCAAAGTCGCGCAGAGTTGAAAATTGATAATATTACACCGTCAAAATTTGATTGGTCAATTTATTTTTCGACTTTATTGAAGGGAATATAAAATATTATTTTTCATCATGAAAAATTTAGAAAAACAAAATTTATTAATTAACAAATTTTTTTTTAAAAAAAATTTCGAAAACTAAAATTTATTAATTAACAAATTTTTTTTAATAAATTTCGAAAACTAAAATTTATAATAAATTTCGAAAAACAAAATTTAAAAATTAGTTAAATACATAAATTTTTGAAAGGAAATTTTCAATGATGAGAATTTAATGAGTTTAGAAATTATTGCGTCTTTATTTGAAATAGATTATTCCACGAAATGACAATGAGAGAGAGAGATGTGTGACTGCGGTCACGTATTATAGAGTCGCAAGTTTCATTGAATTGCCTAAACTTGACCCAAATGGTCATAAATCGGTGAAAGTAAATTCACTAAAGTGGAGCACACAAAGTGTCAGTCACTGGGTCAAACTCATCTCTTTCTATTATGTCTATTGCACAAACTAAAAGTCAACCTGTTACGTTCGAAATTTTATTTCCAAATAACTTGAAATTTTTTTTTTTTTAGATAAAAAATCTGCAATAAATTAGTTTGCAAATTTGTTATTTCTTAAAAAATAATAAATTAATACCTAATAAATAATAATAGTAATAATAATAATAAATATCAATAAAATAAATAATAAAGGAAATAAAAAACTTTACAAAAGAAATTTTAATTTTTTAATGATAGAAAATTATATTCCGTTATAAAGAAAGCAATTATAAGTTCTTAAAGTTTAATTAAAAGTCCATTTCATTATAGAGAGTAAAAATAAACGGGAGCAATAACATTGTTTTTATTAATCGTTTAATAATACGAACCAATAAAAATATCCATAATTTTTTTTATATATATATTTATTTATTTATTTATTTATTTATTTAGAACATAACGGGACATGCCCTTTCGTACAAAAGTACTCCTAAATTCTAATAGTTACGTAAGTAACAATACAAAATATAAAATATTAACTAAATCTAGGTAGGCGCTATAATGGCTAAAGTTCATTATAAGTTTATACAGTAAAGAATAACATAAATCAAATTACATTATTATCAAAAGAGAAGATTAATTTTCGATAAATAGAATCTGCTTTACCATTATATCAATTAATTTCAAAAATAATTGTTATTGTTCAATAATACTGATTTTATCTAAATCACAATTTCTACGTTTAGTTCTGTATGTATTTCCTTAAATCACTTTCATAGATAGAAATAAAATAAGTTTATCTCAAGGAAGGGACACAACCTTGGGCACCAAGTGGGGAAATCACTATAGATTCTCCTTACACGCATCTATTTGGACTGTAAGAGTGGATGTGCGATTTCTAGGGGGGATTTTAATTATGGTAGGGATTCCACGCCGGTAGACCATTGACACATTCATTTCTCCGTCTAATCGACGGGTCTCTAGTTCCTCCCTCACTCTCTTAATCTCCTCCCTCTGCATATATATTTTTTCAAAAAGTTTTGAAAACAAAATTTTAGGCAGGTACAAAAATTTTTTGTTTATCGCATATAAAAATTATTTGAAGAAAAAAAATTTTTTCCTCCCTTACATGATTGAAAAAAAAAAAATTTCTATATGTAAAAAAAAAATATTACGATTACTCTCAGGAAAATTGGATACGATATTGACAAATTTAAAAATGTTAAAAATGAAATGAAAAATTGCACACAGATACACA